TGTGGGAGTCTAGTCTGTTTGGATGCTCACCTTCCTAGACCTTGATGGAGTGGGGAGGACCTTGGACTTCCCACAGGGCAGGGAACCCTGACTGCTCTTTGGACTGGAGAGGGAGGAGGATGGAGAGGGAAATAGGAGGAGGGGAGGAGGTGGAAATTTTTAATAAAAAAAAAGAAAAGAAAGAAAAAGAAGAAAAAAGAAAGAAAGTGGCATTTTAAATGCTAGAAAAATATAAATAGCTAGAATGGCAAAATGGATGGCTGACACATCATGAACAGCAGATGAAACTGTTCCTGGCTGGAAGCCTGGCAAGTTCTATCCCACCTGCAACAACCACCAGAGCTGTCTACTTCCATATTCCCGCTATGTTGACAAGATCCATCCTATTCCACATTAGCAGTTCTTCAGCTCTTAAGCATTCTCCGAGACACCTTGTTTACCAGGGAGCGAGAGATAAAGAAAAATCAACAGATCAATAAGAGATTAGGTATTGAACTGCTTCTACTTTGAAAAGGAGGTGACAAGATCTGTAGAACCCTGAAGAAATGACTATACCTATGCTATCTCGTCCCCCGCTGTTTCTAATCAGAGGCTGTTAGCTGCCAGAATGAACTTGGATAGATCAAATACTAATCTTTTGCTATGAAAGAACTGAGTATGGTTAAGCTCAAAACTTTGAGTACAAGTCTGAGAAGAGAACGGGAATGAACAGCTACAATTATTTCCTCACCCAACAAGTACATTCTGACTGACTATGCCATATCTTTCGTCAGAGCCTTAGACTATGGCATAGCTTTTTCAACTATGGATTTCACCTCTCTGGTACTTTATTGACGTTGTTATTATAACTATGTGACCACTAGATTTCTGCTGTTGTGATTTCCTATGGTTCTAAATAGACTTAATCCCAGAGTAAGAATCTCACCTGCAGGAGTGAGTTTCATCAACATGAATTAGATTGTTTTCCCTGGGTATGACCTACTTCCAGAAGATGTGAGGAGTTTTCTTTTATGGAAAATCAGGTATTTTTGTGCAGATTTTAGCCACTTACTAAACTTAAAGCTCTTATAAAGCAACACATTAATAATTAGATGATGGTGATGATTGATGATGATACATACATACATACATACCCATATATGTAAAATGAGTACATTTAAAGTTTTTTCTCTAAGTGAAAAATCATAAATTCATTCAAGGGCAATTTTACGGAATAGTACTGGAGCAGTACAATCTACAATATGAGGGAGATATTTTACTTAGGTCTTGGGAATTAAGAAGAATTCTTTGAGGAAAACATAGACGAGAAAAGAGGAAAAAAGTTTTCTTCAGGTCTGGAGGAGCCAGACCTTCCTCCTGGGGGCAAAGTTCAAGTGACTCTCTCCTCATTACCTGACAACAATTGTTTCCAGCTGTGGTGGATGTGCACGTGAGCAGCACTAATTGGACTCAGAGAGTTATGTTTTAAAAGGAGAGAGAGAGAAGATGAAATTGGGAGGGAGACACGCTGGGAGGGGCTTGGATGGCAAGGCAGAGGCTGGGCAAGATCAAAATACACACTGTGTATATGTATGAAATTTTCAAAAAATAATAATAAATCTATTAAATATTTTAATTACACATAAAATTATAGAGGCACTATGAAACGAATTAGCGTGCACTATGATTTGAAAAGCTAGTTTAATTGACCAGATCTTCTCATATGTTGTAGGCACCAAGCAGACATTCCTGGAGAACATGGATGAAGCTGAAAATCTGACAATATCTTCTGCCAGTAATAACACATGCCACGACACAATCGACGAGTTCCGCAATCAAGTGTACTCCACAATGTACTCTATGATCTCTGTTGTGGGTTTCTTTGGCAATAGCTTTGTGCTCTATGTCCTCATAAAAACGTATCATGAGAAATCAGCCTTCCAAGTATACATGATTAATCTAGCCATAGCAGATCTACTGTGTGTTTGTACATTGCCGCTCCGTGTGGTCTATTATGTGCATAAAGGCAAGTGGTTCTTTGGTGACTTTTTGTGCCGCCTCACCACCTATGCCTTATATGTTAATCTCTATTGTAGCATCTTCTTTATGACAGCCATGAGCTTTTTCCGGTGTGTTGCTATTGTTTTTCCTGTCCAGAACATTAATTTGGTGACACAGAAAAAAGCCAGGTTTGTGTCTATTGGAATTTGGATTTTTGTGATTTTGACTAGTTCTCCATTTTTAATGTCCAAATCTTACCAAGATGAGAAAAACAATACTAAATGCTTTGAGCCCCCACAGGATAATCTAACTAAAAAATATGTTTTAGTCTTGCACTATGTGTCATTATTCATTGGCTTCATCATCCCTTTTGTCATCATAATTGTCTGTTACACAATGATCATTCTAACCTTACTAAAAAATTCAATGAAGAAAAATCTGCCAAGTCGTAGAAAGGCTATAGGAATGATCGTAGTTGTGACAGCCGCCTTTTTAATTAGCTTCATGCCATATCATATTCAACGAACTATCCACCTTTACTTTTTACACAGTGAAACTAGACCCTGTGATTCTGTCTTAAGGATGCAGAAGTCAGTGGTCATAACCTTATCTCTAGCTGCATCCAATTGTTGCTTTGACCCTCTCCTATATTTCTTTTCAGGTGGAAACTTTAGGAGAAGACTATCTACATTTAGAAAGCATTCTTTTTCCAGTATGACTTACATACCCAAGAAGAAAGCTTCCTTGCCAGAGAAAGGAGAAGAAATATGTAAAGAATAATTCAAACCCATCTCCAGTGCAGAACAATGAAAAGAATTTCCCTAACAAGTATTTTCTTAAATTGCAATTAAAAAAATAAAGTTTCCCATTAACAATTTACAAATTATTAAATAAATCTTATTTATAAATCCTATCATTCAATATTTTAAGTGTTCAAAATTCAGCTTATCACTGTGACCTAAGCCATAGATTTTTTGTTTTACTATTCCCCAGAAGGTAGAAAATATTTGAGGTTCTGACCTATAAAACTTAATATGAAATAAAGATATTTTCTTTTTAAATAAAAGGGCTAATAAAGGATATGAACTAGAATTTAAGCCCAGCTTATAAATATAGCTTTAAAATCAACAAAAAGTCATCAGTCATCCTAACTTGTCCCTTTGCATTCATGCCATCAGATGAGACCTGTAGATGACCCAGACGCTACAGACATGCAAGATCAGTCTATTCCTTTGTAGTACTGACTAGCGAGGCAAAGCAGGGCCCTATCTTCCAGAAGAGAATGTTCAAGTACTAGAACAAACCAGTATTCAGCCAAATAACTCTACAGGCTGCATGCAATTTACAATCTGGAAACCAAGGAAGATAAATATGATAAAAAGCCAGCTTGTCTCCAATTCTCTTCTGTCCTTGCTTGACTCAAACCCCCAAAAGAGAATGGGGTTTTTCTCGCTCATTGAGGTTCCTATTATGAATTCAATCCTAACCCAAAATATTGGGTTAATGAATAAAACAACTGACATTGCCATATATGAACAGAAACAATTAAAATTCGTCTGAAGAAAAGGAAAGAGATCTACCTTTCTACAGGAGTTTTATTCTGATCAAAATTTACTATATATGATAGAAGAAAATTTGAATATCTATCATTCTCTTAAGAAGTGCACTTATGTATATGTATATAAATATATGTAATCTATCTTGTTCTATGTTATGCATTTATAGTTAGTTAATTATGAGACTTATTGTTGTTTATACTGTCTGCTTTTTATTAGCATGTTGAAAGCAATATCATTTATTTGCAGTGATTTTTATATTATAGCGGAAGCTTTGTACTTAAAACAAACCATTGGAAACAGCTTGGTTGTGACTAAAATATGATATTTATTGACTAAGTTTTGCTGAGGTTCATTCTGTTCTTAACTCTGAGTTTCAAAAGTCACAATACCTCAGAAGAAATAAATGATAATAGAGATGGAAAAAAGGAAAAGTGTGAATGGAGTTCTGTTTTCATCGGCCACGTGAGCCATTTCTATTTCACTTCTACTGCTTCACTCTCTGGGGAAATAAAAAAGGACATAGTGAAGAAAGACTCCTAGGGAACAGAAATAACTGGAACTCGGTTGAACATATCTGAAACCTGGTAGTACCTATTATTTTTGCTCTATATTATTTCCTTTTGCCTGAGACAAATAACAAATACATTTGTCATAAGAAAACAGGTCTCATTTTCTATATTTTTGTTTTGGAGCAATCAGAATAGTGTGTTAGAAGGGCACAATACTGGCAGTTAGAACACCTGCGTGCTAACCTGCTCTCTACAAATAGTTATGTAACTTTAAGTGAGACCCATAAATGCAGACCCTCAATTCCTCAACTGTAGGATGAGGATGATACTTGTTTTGCCTTTCTTGGGAGAATTTTCAGGATTAAAATACAATTTGACATGCTAAAATTTTAACCTAAAATATATAGTAAGGTATCATTTTAAAGTATTTAGAAGGGGGCCTTTAAATATGCTTATTCATATTTATTGTATCAGTTCTCAATTTTGAAAGAATTAGAAAATATAACCACAGTTAAATTCTATTTCATATAAATAACCATGTTGCTTATCTATTCTTACATCCAAGCTTTTGTATGTGTTTGCACTTTCACTCACATATGTACCCACACAGGTTGTTTGTTTGTTGGCCAAACAGGACCATAAATTTATTGGGGGATGCACACTCACACACTCACAACATCACACGACAATGGCACAGTTACTCAGGACATCAAGGTGGCCTCTGTCATCAAAGTAGGATCCAATAGGTTGTAACCTCCTCCCACGCAACCTAGACCCTGCTTGGTCCTTCCTCTGGGGCAACTGAGGAAGGGAGGGTGTTGCTGGGGTGGCCCTCAGACCTGGTAGGGGTGAGCAGGCAGGTTAGTACAACATACCTGGCTGAGTGGAGGCCACCTCACTCCAGGGACTGCAGCCTCAGCAACTTCTTCAACACCTTCGTCTGGCTCATCTCTCAGATTTCACCAGCCCGGGACATCTCATCTACCATTGTGTAAACCTTGTAGAAGCTGAAAACCAGGTCCAGTTCACAGACATTGTGGAAATATTCATTTAGCACTCCCACAAAGTTGTAGATGGCTTCGAGACAGACCAGAATTTTGTCCTTGATGACTACACAGATACAGAAGTAGAGTCTAGTGTAGTGTAGGTAAATGATCTTGAAGTTCCAGAAGTCCAAAAAGTTGGTGTGCTTGGCATCCCTAACAGTAACCAAGGCATGGATCTCCTCGATCAACTTCTGCTTCTCATCATCATCAAACCACATGTACCACTTGGCCAGGCGCATCTTGCCACTTGGTTCTGGATGAGAATGAAGTGAATGACGGTGACCCCTGTCACTGTATTCTGTTTTAAATACTTCACCTGTATAAATATATTAATGCATATGCCCATCCTCATTGTGCCAGCAAGTTTCAGAACCAAGGTTCAACACAAGGCATTTTGTTGTAAGAATCTATGTTTTTAATTTGCTAAATATCTGTGCAACCATTTTCAGGTACAAAGTTTCAGGTGTACATTACAAATAGGTATACATGACAAATAGGTATGCATAACAAATCTCCAGAAGAGATTTACTATACACAATTATGCCTTGCATTAGCAATATAACTGTGCCTTTAATTTTTGTAATATAGCAGGTATGTTATGCCCTTTTCAAAACATATGAGAAATAAGTGATAGACAAAAAGAGAGAAAGATGATGATGATGATGATGGATAGATGATGCATTAAAGTGTAGTGTTTAAATATACAAATTATATGAACACATGCCTGTGATTTACTCAGAAGAATGTCTTGAGAATATTATAGAATAAATTAGAATATTGAAATTAGAAGGAGGTTCATATTTGCAAACCCTAGTGGCAAAATAATAATAGCATATAGCATTAACATTCCACAGTCTTCATAGACATCCCTTTTGTCACCAACAGCCCTGTTAAATCTCATAAACTAGCAAGATTAGCTCTCATTATACACTTAACTTTTTATTTCATTTATGAAGTATCACTTCTGTATCCTCAAAAACATTTCTGATCTTAAGCAAATGTTCTTTATTTTAGTTTTCAGAATAAACGTATTTGGTTTTGTGTGTTCTTCTTAGACTGTAAGCTGTTTTTTCTTGGCTATAAATTTCCTGGGTTTGCAGAAAAGTAAAATGATTATACAATGATAATTTTAATTGGCCTTTAATGTTAATAAATGTATCATTCAATAACTTTATCTTACTGAAACATCAGTGACCCAAAATGTAGAAAATATAGATGCTTGAAAGGTCAGATTAGTATCACAATAATATAAACTCAAGGGATACATTTTAGTAAGCGTCATCACACTAGCCAGTAGGAAAATATTCTATTCTGCTCCATGTGTATAACCTGGGTTTGACTGGCTTTGCCTGATAAGAGGATAGAAAGGTGTTCTTTGACACATCCCAAAGCTCTCTGTTACTCTAGATAAAAACGAAAGACAAATCATTTCTAGATATTTCGGCGAAGATCAACTATAAAAACAAAAGATGATTCCTAACTGCTCCTTTATTTGCTCATTGTTTAGCTTTTCTCTGTATTATATAGCTCCCCTTTATATAACTCCTTCCATTATATAGCCCCCCTTTATATAACTCCTTCCATTATATAGCTCCCCTTTATATAACTCCTTCCAT